GCCAGAAATTATAACTCTAAGCAGGATTCTAAAACCTACAATACAATGAAGTATCATTTCTCTCTTACAGGTCTTTGGTTTTAACCAATCTATTTTTAAAAGGGGCAATTCAAAGATTATGGCTTATGTGGTAGATTTCTGTTGACTATAACAAATGTTCACTGGATAACAAGCGATAATTTGCAAAAGGCATATTTATGCATTACATTACATGTGGATCCTCTTCTAAAACTAGAATAAGCTTCATTTCCATCGTTCAATATGGGAAGAATAGAGGTGGCAAGAAATTAAGCTCAAGTTTATGTTTTGAAACAAAAGAAATCTTGTTAAAAGATTCTTCTGAGTTATAACAACCGTTCTTCTAGCTGGCAGTTTAGCCAGTCAGAAAGATACAAAAAAACTAAAAACAAAACCAAAAACACATGTGCTCTATGTGCCTATTTATTATACCTTACCCTTAATTTGAAATTCTATCCTTTAAGAGAATGAATTTGTCACTCATCTGCCAGATGTTTGTTTTTTTAGAGAAAAGGTTTCAAATCAGCCACTTAAGTAGTCTATTACTAGTGTAAAATAAATTCCACTTAGCATCACAGCATAGGAATAACCATATTGTTCAAAAATACACAGCCCTGATACATAGCATAATTATTTTAGAACTATCATCACACATTTATCGAGTGTCTATGTATCCAGCACAGTGAAAGATTTAGCTTAAAGGGTAGAGCGGGGCAGATTGCTACAACTGGTTTTTAAAGACAGTATGTGGAAAGTCAGAATAATTTTAGATTACCAAGCAATTAGAATAAGGGCACACAGAGGGAACAGTAGGATTTGGCAGATTCCTCTACTTTCATCTTCAGTGGGGTTAAAAAAAAAAAGCCACAATTAACTGAAATTTAACTGAAAGTGATTTCCAAACTCAAAGTCAAATATAATACCACTTGGTACTTAATGTCATACCTGATAGATATATAAAAAGAATGAATATGAATACAGTCAAATTCAACTTAAGTTTTAAGCAGAATCCCACATTTAAGTAAGTCTCTTTTCATTACATAGATATTTGATCTGATCAGAACAATTTGCTTTGAGATCAAAAAGATCTGGCATTTTACTTATTCATTAGGGATTGGAAAAAGAAGACCTTTGGCTTTCTAACCAGCCATTTCATTCATGGCATCAACAGCCGATGGCAGCCACGTGGAAATGTATGCTGGATATTTGGATAGTTTAAATATGTACAAGCAATAGCTTATAACCAGTGAAAATAATAAGAACATAATTCAGCATGTGTCCAAGATAAGATACAAAAAAAGCAGAAAAAGTGCTTGAATCTACAGGTCTTCCCTGAAAGTTTAAAAAATGTTTAATTCTTAAGCAGGTAGGGCTTTTAATAGAATTTGCATAGCAGCATACAAGATAATTTGCATTAAAATATATGAACAGAGATTCTTCTATGGCTTTGAAAACAAACAAATATATTCACATGCATATAAGTTAAGCAAGAAGGCCTGGAGTTTCTCACAAAATTTAAAAAAATCAATAACCTTTTCTCACACTTTTGTCCATCAAAACCATTTACAACAAATCCTGTTTCTAGGATAAACACAGCCTTGTCCAGATTCCACACAGCTTAACTTTTTTTTTAAGCATAATTTCTGGGGCCAGGTGCAGTGGCTCACATCTATAATACCAGCACTTTGGGAGGCTGAGGCAGAAGTATTGCTTGAGCTCAAGAGTTGAAGACCAGTCTGGGCAATATGGTGAAACCCTGTCTCTAAAACAAAACAAAACAAAAAACCACAAAAATTAGCCAGGTGTGGTGACACACACCTGTGGTCCCAGCTACTCAGGAGGCTGAGGTGAAAGGTTCATTTGAGCCCAGAAGGTTGAGGCTGCAGTCAGCTATGATCATACCACTGCACTCCAGCCTGGGTGACAGAGTGAGAACCTGTTTCAAAAAAAGAAAGAAAGAAAAAAAGAAACAAATTCCGTTTATCAGCTAAGTGCATTCAGTCAGCTGGAAAAAGCTTTGTTACCATTCAACTTAGGAGGGTAAATTAGGAAAATAATCAGTAATAATGTTAGGTTATTTGTTGTTTAGAAAGATTTTTTTACTTATAAAAATATAATAAATAATCCAATCTCTCCTGCCATGCAATAATTTTCAGTATAGAAGATAAAAACAGGCACTATCAGACCTTCTTTGGCCTAAGAAGTGCTAAAACATGGCTTTAAAATAGGTGGATGACATTTAAAGTAGTATTTTTGATTGCCTATATATGTTCCAGTATTTAACCTGAAACTCTTGTCTACTAGGAAAGTGAGTTTACAGTTACAACTATCTAATAAATACTGTATGAGCATACATATGAAAACATATGAAGTATTTCTTCATATAAAACATTAGATACTAATTTCCAGGTAATATTTCATTTGATGACTTCAGGAAAGGACTTACCTTTTTCAGAAAAAGAAAAACTGAGCGTTTTTCTTTTGTTCCTTTCTTTTTCTTTTTATGAAGAGAAAGGAGAGAAGTTTTAGGAGAAGAGGCGGGAGACGTTTCATATACCAACTGGCTGCTCCTAGGCCTCTGTGTGGAATGTGGAGAAGCTGTCTAAATTCCGGGTTTGGGAGGCACAGGAAGCAGTCCCTCTGAATGGGGAGTGGACTTGATTCTGCAGTTGCCTTTCCATTCTACACACTGGAGCCCACCACATCCTCAACAATTTGCTTAATTCAAAATGAAAAAGAAATGAAAAATGAGCTGGTTCTATAAAAAAGGTAGAATATTGAAAATGCCCATTTTTCATTATCATTTGAAAATAATTTGCCATACTTTGGCATCTAAATATAAATACATATTTATCATGGTGTCCCATTCATTAGAGAGCACTTCATTTGTGGACTGAAAATCCCAAAAACACATTTGATTGAAGAACAACCTTGGTCATCATGATTGGAGAGCTGTTAAGTGTTAAGAAAAGCAGCATAAGGGCTCTGGTTCTTGGGGCTGCTAGTGGACAAAGGAAACCTCCCATACTTTGATTTCACACTAAGACTCAAAAGTCGTTATTAAGAACCCTACAGACCTCAGTGCTACACACGTCAGTTTAACCTTGACCAAAATGAGTGAAATGAACACATGACTTGCATTTCCTGCTCATATTTAAATCACACCTATTTTACATCTTCATATAACCAATGAGGACGGTGGCTCAGAAGCTCCCCTGCAAATCTTAGTGGCTTAGCCTTTCACATTAACACAGAAAACCTCAACCACGTGGCTCTGCTGCTGAAGTCTGTAAACACATCATTCAATATCTCATATTAATAATGCTCTCACTGCATAGAGGCTTTAAGATTGCTTACCTGAGGGTATTAATGTAGTGAAATTCTGATTCTAGAAATCATTGCTACACCTTCCAGACATTTTTATTCCTTCCCTTAAATGAAAATTTATCTTGGACCAGGCACAGTGGCTCATGCCTATAATCCCAGCACTTTCGGAGGCCAAGGCAGGTGGATTCCTTGAGGTTGGGAGTACAAGACCACCCTGGCCAACATGGTGAAATTCTGCCTCTACTAAAAATACAAAAATTAGCCGAGTGTGGTGGCAGGTGCCTGTAATCCCAGCTATTTGGGAGGCTGAGGCAGGAGAATCACTTGAACTCGGGAGGTGGAGGTTGCAGTGAGTGAAGATCATGCCACTGCATTCCAGCCTGGGCAACAGAGTGAGACTCTATCTCAAAAAAAAAAAAGGACATCCAAGTAATACTACCTATTCTTTGAGATCCAGGGACTGCGCTAATCTTGACATTTTATATTGATATTATACCACTTTAAATGTTTGCAGATATATACCTCCTTCAAAGTTAGGAAAAACAAGCTGAGTGTGATTTTCTAATACTACAAAATCAGCAATCTTATTGCTACTGTGTCCTAATGATGACATCTGGCAATGCTTAACCAAAAGCAGGTAGCTGTTCCACGGTCTCATCACCCTGCCCACTGTAGGGAGTGCTGTGAAGCCAACACTAAATCTTGAATGAGCAGCTGCTCGTCTATGCGACTGCTGCCACAAAGGGCCAGGCCACAGCCAGGATGCTACATGGGCAGCCCAAAACAACTTGACATGGTTTGTGCAGAAGAGCTGGCTTCACCCACAAAGTCTACTCCTCAAGCAGACTGGCTCTTTAGGATTTATCTTGCTCAAAGAGATCTGCCTACTGGAAGAGATGCCATTAAGGAAACCCACCTTGAAGACTCTTCCTCCAAACTAAGATAGGCGATCTCCTTGAAATGGCAGTGATTTCCAGTTATTCAAATAGTGACTAATAAAGCTCCACTAACCCTAACCAAAGGCACATTTGGTAAGCAATAAAAAAAATGGCTTAACCTAGGAAGAGGAATTTTCTTTTAAAATAAATCTTATAATATTCCCTGGCTCCTACCAAAACTAAAATTGGAAAAACCTAAACCAAGCAAAACTTTTCTCTCAAAGCAGTGGCTTCCAACTTGCTTTTCAACTCAGTCACCACTAGAAAGGAAGTGGAAGGCAAGACAAATCAAATTTTGCAAGTTCTAAGTCCTAGAGACAGCACTTAAGAGTGGCAAAGCTTGGGGTAAGGTGGGAAGTGACTGCCAGGCTGGGATAGAGGGAGAACCAGGGCTGATGGAAGAACCCTTTGGTGATACAACTCAAGGACTTCCTATGGTGGAAGGAGCTTGTGAGTACAGTAAATTCCAAGACATACAACCTATCTGGAATGCTCACGAAGCAACACGCTGCTGCAAGCTAGCACCTGGGAAGGGACAATTGTTCTGAACAACAGATCAAGGCTAAGCACAACACAAATCCTACAGGAAGAAGAAAAAACAATGCTTGGGTATTTGATTATGTCTAAAAGGAAAACAATGAGCCATTCTTTTTAGCAGGAGAAATAAACCTAATTACTCATAAACCATATTATGAAACAAGATAATAAATCAATAGCTTCATTTTGGAGCTTTTTAGAGTCCTAGAATATCTGGCCAAGGTCGATTGTGAAAGGTAGGCTCTTCTTTAAACACGGTTATGGTTCAGCAGTGATTTGCAGGTCCTTGCGAAGGCACTGTGCTGAAGGAAAGAGCAAAGAGTTTTCTTTTGTGCTTTTTTTTTTTTCGAGGTGGAAATATTTCTTGTGACAGTCAATGTCCTTTTCTGATTTTTTGTTGCTCATACAAGCAGTCCCATACGAGTGACTTTGGCCGATAAGAACGTGTGCAACACAAATACAATCGGTTTTGGACAAGAGTGCAGGTCCATGGTCTGTGGAGAAAGGACATATCACTACCATATACAGACAACTTAATAAACAAAAATGCAAATAAATTTACTTTTAACTTAGGTTAAGAATGTACCAGAGCTATGGAAACTCTTGGGAACTTAAAGCCACAGGCAAAAGTGCACTATGGAAAAAGGTGATTCCATGTCATAATACTGGTGTGAGGTTTCACATCCCCAGTTAGGAGACAACTGGTAGTGTAATGGGTTCCCCCAAGCCTGATAGGAAGAACTAAAAAGTAGAGAATTTAAAACTGAAGGCCAGGCACGGTGGCTCACGCCTGTAATCCCAGCACTTTGGGAGGCCAAGGCGGGTGGATCACCTGAGGTTGGAAGTTCGAGATCAGCCTGACCAACATAGAGAAACCCCATCTCTACTAAAAACACAAAATTAGCCAGGCATGGTGATGCATGCCTGTAATCCCAGCTACTCGGGAGGCTGAGCCAGGAGACTCACTTGAACCAGGGAGGTGGAGGTTGCAGTGAGCAGAGATCGAACAATTGCCCTCTAGCCTGAGCAACAAGAGCGAAAGTCCGTCTCAAAAAAAAACTTTTTTTAATTTAAAATTTCTTAGTTCTAAATGGAATGTCAGTCCACGATTTTGTACATAAGGGGTAAGAAGTCATGAGAAGAAAAGAGAGAACATCTATTAGATACACGTGTTTCAGAAACACTCTTACCAGTTCTCCCTCGGGACCACCAAAATCCAAGTATAGATTTCGGATGCCATCATCAGCAGACATTTTCAGCTTTTCAAAGGGGTAGCGGTACAGTATGCTGCTGGAGCCTCCATTTTCCCTGGAGATGGTGAACCCATTTTCATAGTGAATAGTAAGTCTCACCTCTTGGCCATTTAACATGCAGCCTATTGAGGAAAAGCAAGAAACATTAGTTGTAAAGTTGCTATGTCAGTTATCAAGTGAAAAGGGATTCTTCTGACTTCAAAATAGGAAAAATATTATTTTCTTGAGAATGTGTGATGCCTAACCTATATGGAATCTTCTAAAGTGAGTTTTGTTTTGGTCACTGAGATGAGGCAGAAATGACCATAACATTCCTTGACATCTGATTCAGTTTAATTCCCACTGAACGCTCGTGCCGGTAAGTGTGTGTAGGCTGTGCAGGGCACTCGAGAAGTAAGAGATACAGTACCTGCTCTCAAGGACTTTGTAAACGCATTGGCATAAACAGAAAATCCCCAACTGTGTAAGGCAGAATGTACAGAACATAAACAAACAACAAACTGATTGAGGCCAAAGTCAAGGAAAGATGTGGCTTCAGATAAGCCCTAAAGAACTGGTAAAACTGGGCCAGGTGCAGCGGCTCACACCTGTAATCCCAGCAGTTTGGGAGGCTGAGGTGAGTGGATCACTTGAGGTCAGGAGTTTGAGACCAGCCTGCCCAACATGCCGAAACCCTGTCTCTTCTAAAAATACAAAAATTAGCTGGGCATGGTGGCACATGCCTGTAATCCCAGCTACTTGGGAGGGTGAGGCAGGATAATAGCTTGAACCAGGGAGGCAGAGGTTGCGGTGAGCTGAAATTGCGCCATTGCACTCCAGCCTGTGTGACAAGAGTGAGACTATGTCTCAGGAGGAAAAAAAAAAACAACAGAATTGGTAAAACTGGACAGGCAGGGAGGAAGAAGCAGAAGGACTGAACTGGGCAAGAAAGAACAACCAAAGGAACAAAGGCAGAGAGGCCTTTCAGGGGCTGTGACATGGTTTGGTTGACATTTGGGATGAAGATAAAGATTATGTTCATCAAAGTTAAAGGCTTGACTCAGCAAAAGACACAGTCAATCCTATCAAAGACACAATTCAAAGGATACATCTGAATTGAGAGAACACAAACAATTTTGGTCATCAAGACTGGCAAATGCCCCAGGTATGGTGGCTCATGCCTATAATCCCAGCCCTCTGGGAGGCTAAGGCAGGAGGATCACCTGAGGCCAGGTGATGGAGACCAGCCTGGGCAACATGGCAAGATCTCATTTCTACTAAAAATAAAAAATGTATCCAGGCATGGTGGCACGTGCCTATAGTCTCAGCTACTTGAGAGGCTGGGGCAGGAGGATCAATTGTGTCCAGGGGTTCAAGGCTGCAGTAAGCTATGATCATGCCACTGCCCTCTAGCCTGGGTGACAGAGCAATCTCTAAAAAAATTTTAAAAAGAGAAATTTAGAGATTCTTTTTTGTTTTTTTGAGACTTAGTCTCCCTCTGTCACCCAGGCTGGAGTGCAGCGGCATGATCTTGGCTCATTGCAACCTCAGTCTCCCGGGCTGAAGTGATTCTCCTACCTCAGCCTGCCGAGTAGCTGGGATTACATACGCACACCACCACAGCCTGCTAATATTTTTGCATTTTTAGTAGAGACGGGATTTTACCATGTTGGCCAGGTTGGTCTTTAACTCCTGACTACAAGTGATCCACCCACCTTGGCCTCCCAAAGTGTGGGGATTACAGGTATGAGCCATGACACCTGGCCTTGTTTTTTGAGACAGAGTCTTGCTCTGTCGCCCAGAATGGAGTGCAGTCGCACAATCTCGATTGATTCTTGCCTCTCAGGTTCAAGCAATTCTCGTGCCTCAGCCTCCCAGGTAGCTGGGATAACAGGTGGGCAACACCACACCCAGCTATTTTTTTATATTTTTTAGTAGAGGTGGAGTTTCCACATATTGCCCAAACTGGTCTCAAACTCCTGAGCTCAGGCAATGCACCTGCCTTAGCCTCCCAAAGTGCTGGGATTACAAGTGTGAGCCACTGCACCTGACCTGAGAGGTTTTTTTTGTTTTTTTTGTTTTTTTTTTTTTTTTGAGATAGAGACTCGCTCTGTCGTCCAGGCTGTGGAGTGCGGTGGTGCAATCTTGGCTCATTGCAACCTCCACTTCCTGGGTTTAAACCATTCTTATGCCTTAGCCTCCTGAGTAGCTGGGATTACAGGTGTTAGCCATCATGCCTGGCTAATTTTTGTGTATTAAGTAGAGACAGAGATTTCACCATGTTGGCCAGGCTGGTCTGGAACTCCTGACCTCAAGTGATCCACCCACCTCGGGCTCCCAAATTGCTTGACCCCTGAGATTTCTTTGTCTGTTTTGGATTGTTTCCCCTGGAGAACCAGAAAAGGAAACTGCTGGGCACGGTGGCTCATGCCTGTAATCCCAGCACTTTGGGAGGCTGAGGTGGGCGAATCACCTGAAGTTGAGAGTTCAAGACCAGCCTGACCAAAATGGAGAAACCTCACCTCTACTAAAAATACAAAATTAGCTGGGTGTGGTGACACATGCCTGTAATCCCAGCTACTAGGGAGGCTGAGACAGGAGAATTGCCTGAACTCTGGAGGAGAATGTTTCAGTGAGCCGAGATCATGCCACTGCACTCCAGAGCAAAACTCTATCTTAAAAAAAAAAAAAGGAAACCAAATGTGACTGTGAGAGAGAGAGAGAGAGAGAGAGAGAGAGAGAGAGTGTGTGTGTGTGTGTGTGTGTGTGTATGTGGTGTTTTTTAAAAAACAGAATCTTCCAACTTAATGTATTTAGGTCTAGATATTGAGTTTGTTTTAGTTTAAAATTTATAATTAGTACCAGGTTCTTCTGAATGAGACTGTGATCTGGTCATATAAATGTGCTAAATATATATATATATATGTGTGTGTGTGTGTGTGTGTGTGTGTGTGTGTGTGTGTGTGTGTGTGTGTGTGTAGAGCAGGCACCTGTGAGAAGTGACATTTTTTTTTTAAGTATAAATTCCCCTTCTAGTAAGAGTGGCCCTTTTTTGATGGGATAACATCTGGGGCTTATTAGCAAAGATCTGAGCTGTCGCAGGTGGCTTATTATGTCTTGGTTCACTTAGAAAGCTTTTGGATGGCTATATAACCACTATCCACTCCAATTTATGAATAATTCAGTAAAAAATTCAGTATGCTGATTTTGTTTTGGGAGGCCGAGGCGGGTGGATCACCTGAGGTCAGGAGTTTGAGACCAACCTGACCAACATGGAGAAATCCCGTCTTTCCTAAAAAAAACAAAAAAACAAAAAAACAAAATTAGCCAGGCATGGTGGTGCATGCCTGTAATCTCAGCTACTCGGGAGGCTAAGACAGGAGAATTACTTAAACCTGGAAGGCAGAAGTTACGGTGAGCCAAGATCGCACCATTGCACTCCAGCCTGAGAAACAAGAGCAAAACTCTGTCTCAAAAAAAATTCAAACAACTGGTTGGGCACAGTGGCTCATGCCTGTCATTCCAGCACTTTGGGAAGCTGAGGTGGAGGATCGCTTGAGGCCAGGAGTTTAAGTCCAGACAACATAGTGGGATTTTATCTCTACCAAAATTACAAAAATTAGCCAGGCATGGTGGCATGCACCTGTAGTCCCAGTTACTTGGGAAGCTTCGGTGGGAGGATCTCTTTAGCCTGGAGGGTCAAGGATGCAGTGAGCCATGTTTGTGCCACTGCACTCCAGCCTGGGCAACAGAGTGAGACTGTGTCTCTAAAAAATAATAACATAAAATAAAAAAATTCAAACAACATAAAAGTGGCTTATAACTGCAGCTGGATTTAGGGATGGAGAAAAAGCCAGGGATGTTTATGGCCCAAATTACCGAGCAGTAAAAGGCATTGCCCACTTCAACAGCTAAGAGAGAGCTGTACATCTCCCTCCATCATTTCCTCTCCTACATCTGTCCCTCTTCCAAACTAAGGCTAATCCCCTCACCTGTGCTTTGGATCGCATCTACCGCCACCTTCCTAGAAACTGTATAAGAACTGATTACTCCTTCTACCTCTTGTGTTTTCAATACGTCCCTCTGAATCAGATCCCTCCCATTCACTTTTTTAAATGCTCAAGTCTTTCTCATTATTAAAAGAAATGCCACTGGGCCAGGCGCAGTGGCTCATGCCTGTAATCTCAGCACTTTGGGAGGCCGAGATTCACAGATCACCTGAGGTCAGGAGTTCGAGACCAGCCTGGCCAAAATGTCAAAGACCCGTCTCTACTAAAAATACAAAAATTAGCCAAGTGTGGTGGCATGTACCTGTAATCCCAGCTACTCAGGACGCTGAGGCAGGAGAATCGCTTGAACCTGGGAGGCAGTGGTTGCAGTGAGCTGACATCACGCCACTGCATTCCACAGCCTGGGTGACAGAGTGAAACTCCGTCT